AACACTTACAACTCAGCAATAAAGACAAATAACTCAATTTAAAAATGGACAAAAGATTTGAGTAGACGTTTCTCCAAAGAAGATATAAAAGTGGCCAAAAAGCATATGAAAAGATGGTCAACATCATCAGTATATTCATCCAGGTAATGCAAATCAAAACTACAATGACATATCACTCCATACCTACTAAGATGGTTATCGTCAAAAAGACAGACAAGAACAACTGCCAAGGTTGTGGAGAAACTGGAACTCTCAAACACTGCTGGTAGGAAGGTAAAATGGTACAGCCACTTTGTAATAAGTCTGGCAGTTCCCCAAAACGTTAAACATAGTTACTCTATGACTCAACAATTCGTATAAACCCCCCAAAATGAAAACATATGTCCACACAAAATCTTGTACACGAATGTTCACAGCAGCATTATTCATAACAGCCAAAAAGTGGAAACAATCCAAATGTGCATCAACTGATGAATGGATAAATAAAATATAGTATATCCACACAATGGAATATTATTCAGAGACAAAAAGATAAAAGTACTGATGCACACTACAACATGGATGAACCTTGAAAACATTATGCTTCATGAAAGAAGCTAGTCATAAAAGACTACATTTTATATGATTCCATTAATACAAAATGTCCAGAACAGGCAAATCTATAAGAGACAGAACAAACGGATACCTAGGGCTTGAAGTTGAGAGTGCTGGGAGGAAATGGGGAAGGAGTGACTGTTAAAAGGTTTGATGTATCTTTTTGGGGTGATCAAAATGTTGTAAAATTGACTGATGGTTAGACAACTCTGTGAATATAGTTACACAACTCTGTGAATATAGTAAAAGCCACTGAATTTTACGCTTTAAATTACATCTCAATAAAGCCAATTAGTTTTTTTTAAAAGTAAAGCAGAGCCTGTGTTCAATGAGTAGATCATTGAAACATAGCAATAAAAAGTGAAAACTGCTCTTATAACTGAACTACATCCTTTTTTAGTATTTCCTCCTTACACTTCTCAATTACTAAATCAAAAATCAAAAGCCAAATGAGTCATTTTATCATAGTCTCTACTTCCAAAAAGTAGTAAGGATCTCTGTCATTTCCATTCTCATGCAGTTAATACAAACTTGGACACAGATCATGACACAATTTGCGTTTAGTTTCCCTACAATACAAAAGAACAAGTTACCCTTTGGATGACAAAAGTCTTAATTTTAATTTGGAGATTTTTCTAGCTAACTCCCAGTTTCCCACTAGCATCAAGGAAAGGGAAATGAACATATCAGCACATTTACAGATTCAAGATCTGTGCTTTTGACAATTTGTGAAGAATCGTGATAGTCACGACATACAGTCATTTACAAGCGGCAGCAATTTTACCTATTAGGACTCTGTAAGGATGTAACATGAATTTTCCTGGCTCCATCCAGCTAAGCTGGTGTGCAAGGAACTGAAATAGTAAGCAATTCTAGACCAGTAACTCCAACTCAGCTGGCAATACGAAAACATTTACGGATCTGAAGAGACCTCAGAAGAGAGCCTTTGCAAATGTCATGGGTCAATTATGTTATCCACCATAAGAGTTGAAACCAAGCAAAATATATTCTACTACTTACAGGAAATATTCTAAATATACAACCAATTTCACCCAAACTATATATAATTTTCTATGCCAATGGCCCTACAGACCTATGATTTTACGAACAGAAACTTTTTTCTTAGGTGTATCATGAAGTTTTGTTTTTAAACATTAACTCAGGCTTTAATCGGAAAAAACCCAAAGATAACTGAATCCAGTTTTTAAAAAACTGTATTATTGCATTTTTACCTTAAAGACAACAGAAAAAGTGAAAATTGAAAGATATATAGGCATGTTTCCCATAAGAAGAAATAATTCAACCTATTATCAAAGTTTTTTTTGGATGCTTTAAAAATATTTAGATTCAAGAAAAAAAATTTAGATTCATTCAAAACCTGTAAGAAAAAATTAATACCACAGCAGTCCCCCTAAAAATCCCTTACATAAACATATCCATCTACACTGAATGATATAATCCAGAAAGACTTTATATTCCCACCATGTCTAAATGACAGACTCACAGAATACTTACACACATACTAGTTCCTCCCATATAATTCCAAGAATTGCTTAACCGGGCATCACATAAGAGATGCACCAAAATTCAGAGATGCCATCTCTAACCTGACAAATACACACAACTGGCCCGTACTAGTCTGTTAAGTTTCCAGAAAATAAGAGTAAGCCACACTCTAAGTGGAATGTGACACACAACCATCCCCAATGAGACAATAACAGATAAAATACCTGTTCCAATCTGTCTAAACAGGTAAACCCATAGATGTTCCCTCATACATAATCTTATCTGTGATAGTGAGCTAACAACTACCCAGGCAACCAAAGGGCAGGATTTAGAGAGGGCTGTGTGCTGGTAAAGGTAATAACAAAGAGAGTACTAGGGGAATGTGATTTTGACTCCCTCTACTAGGCAGATAACTTTAATTTAGTATATTTCTATAAATTAACTCATTAATTTCTATAAATTAAGTCATTAGGACACAGATGAAGGCAGCACAGAACTTTTAAAAATCAACCACAAAAGCACTATTAACTTTGTGCCAAAAATAAGTCAAACAAAAATTATGCTCTAACTTCTCTTTCTGAAGATAGTAACCGCATTCCCACTGAAATAAAGATGGGCAGATTTACTATAAACCACAACCAAATATTTGACACCAAACAATCCAAAGGCCACAGTAATCCACTTAACAATCACACTGACATCTATATTAAGTAGCACAAGTACATAGGACTTGTAGAACTAATCACCACTTCCCAATCAGCCACAACATAGAGGATCCTTTGCTTGCCAAAGCGGAGCACCACATACATGAAGGTGGATATAATCTTTATCTCTGCCTCATCCGGTTCAATCAACTATTCTGGGATCAAGAAAAGGAGCCAAAGCCACTGAATCACAAACCTGGCTTCTAAAGCAAACTTGTTAACTATCCAATCTTCATACCATTAAATGAATTTCCTTGCAAATTCCCACAAGCAGGCAAATTAACCAAAGTAGATATCTTTCTACAATGTTATATATCAATTATATCTCAATAAAACTGGGGAAAAAAAACAACGAAGTAGGTATCTTTCCTAAAACTTACCAAAGGGCTTATTATGTGTCACATCCACGTTTTAAAACGCTTCATTTATAAAGAGTTTACATGACCAGTAATGATACCATTAACTGTGGCTTAATGAAAAAGTAAAACTCCAAATTTCAGACATTATAAACTTTTCTTTTTAACTTTAAATAGAATTGGTTTAATTATTTTAGTTTATTTAAATAATTGCCATTATGTAATTCCTTTCCTCACACTTGTTTTCATGCATGTTTATAATACACTGGTTTAATCAAGCTAAATTATTATCCGTAGTAAGTTAAAACTAAATTAGACTAATGTATTAGAAAATAATACATCTTATAACGAAGTTGCAGTCTAACCATCACATAATACTGTACGTGGATTTCATTTATTAAAAATGAGCCTTAAACAAGCTCATTAAAACAAAGTAGTTTATTTTGCCAGTAATTTGTTGTCAAAATTTAAGCAAATAAGTATATAAACTAAGTTCATATATTTACCAATTTAGTTGTAAAAAGATTACAAAAATAATATATGTGGTTAAACTACTTTTTTAAAAAAGATTCAAACCATTAAAATGAATACTGTCACAAGAAACAAGAGATTTTAGGTTTCATTCAAACTGGAGTTTTTCCACAATCAATGCATTTCCAAGAATTGGTGACCAAAGCGACCAATGATTTGCCATCTGAAAATGTCTTTGATGTAACAGTCTTAAGTGTGATAAAAAGTCTTTCTGTTAAACAGTTTTACTTAACAAAGAAATATTTGTTCTATTTGAATAAAACATTCTTTGATTATTATTGCAAGGGTATATACTGTAGATGACTCTCATACAAAGAACATTAGATTTACCACAAACATAAAAAGCCTTATTAGAACTTTTCCTACACAAGTTTCCAACTAGCCAAGTATCAAATAGCCATGTGCAAAATTCTCACTTTCATTAATATGTAGAGTTGCTATCTTTGCTTTCACATAAAAATAAGATCAGTAAAATCAGAAATCATACCAAACAATAAATTCTACCTTCATTCAATATTAGCAACATATTCCTGTAATCTGCCCTCTCACCTTCAATCCACAAGACTACGAATTTAAACTATGGAAACGCCATGATGGCCTGGTTCCAACACTGACCTCATATCAAAACAGAAAGAAATGTTTTATATGAGACCAACAGCCAATCTTCCAACTATTGCATCAGACCCAAGATCTAGTATAAGGCAGGAGGTCATTTTTCTCTTCTTCCTCTATCTACCTGTATATCATTAATCATTTCCAGGCAAGCACTATTACTTCTTATAAATAAACTCTGACCAGAAAATTGAAGAATGCGGTCATAAAGGAGAGAGTTTTAAATTTAACATCATTGCCTCAAATCACCCATTCTTACTTAGCTACAGCCGAGAAATAATGTAAACCATGAAAAAACAGTTCAATGTTCCAGTACTTTTAAAAATCAATTTCCAACAAGGTAACAAGTGAATTATCAAATAGCAAATATTTTAGCCACACTATTATTCTACCATTAAAGAAATCATTTAAGGCCCCAACACCTATTCCACTGAAAAGTAATTGTATTTGTTACTCTATAATTTCATTATCTTATTGTTATTGCATTACTCTGTTTGGCAACCCCACTATACCTCTACAAACAGACTTGATAAGTATTCCATTTCTGCACAGAAACAATAGCCGTCCTCCACAGTCATTTAAATTCAAACTACAATGATATTTTACTAATCAAATTACAACAGTTGTACATCAGACCAATGGTTCAATTATACCTTGCGCAAAAGATACAAATAAATAAAAATCCGTAAGTACTTACCTACAGTTGGGAGGAGGGTCCAACGTAATCTCTGCAAGTTCCTTTTGAATTCTTTAAAATAAAGACAAAGTTATGTTAAAATGTCTTCACTGTCTTAGTAGTTCACTAAAATGTTATACTTTTACACAAATATTTCCCATTTGTATTTTTTTTGAAATAGTAATACCAAATAAATCATCATATATAATAATAACCAAGCCATAACTTCTGCCTTGATTTTGGCAATGCACCTACAAAGGGTAAAAAGATTGCCCATTATCAGTACATGCAGCCTGTAGAAACAACATTAAAAACTTCATCTAACCAGGACACCTGGGTGGCTCAGTCCGTTAACATTCGAACTCTTGGCTCAAGTCATGATCTCAGGGTTGTGAGCTCAAGCCCCATGCCCAGCTCTGTGCTCAGCAGGGAGTCTGCTTCTCTCTCTCTCCCTCTGCCCCTCCGCACCGCTTGCCCACGTTCTCTCTCTCTCTCAAATAAATAAATCTTTTAAAAAACACTTCTCTGAACCACTGATAATAACCAAAATTTCTAGTGTAAATTAGATACCTTTGTCACATTATTTATGGATCATTCCAACTTCTGATTTGCACTAGAACACCTCCACATAAGACAGAAAGATGATTATTAAGTTGAATCCAAGCATTCTGAGTAATCCAATCAACTGGTGAAGAAAGAATTATCAGGATCTCATTCCAACACCTGAAACTGCTACCCAAATATACATGGTATTCCTCCCTGAAGCCTCTAGGTTGGAGCAGATTGAGAATTTCCAATCTGACACTATTCCTTTTGCAAGAACTATCCTAATAATATGTGGATAATCATCTTAATGTCATTGCATTGCAAAAAGAACTTTTTAAAAAATCTCCTTTTGTCCTCGTGTTATTTTTTTACTTTGACTTTTAACTGCACCCAACCCCTTATATACATATACAAAGGCTACATTGTTTTATGAGACTAAGCAATCTCTTAACTATCATTCATGCATTATTAAACACAGGCTTTGTTAAAGCAAATACAAAAAAAATCCTCAAAACCACTTCTCCTTTGCTTTTTAAATATGAGGATTTGCTAACTGGACACCTGCTATCTGGTAATTATTGTGATGGTAAATGGATGACAGGTGACTAAAGTACCTTAAAAAATAAGAACCTGAACAAAAACATTTACTCTCAAACAATTTCATTCCACATCTTTTTCAATACAACGAACAAAAATACAGAAATAGACATGACTCCTCCAAGAGGATTGGCTTCAATTTCCTAAAGGAGTTGAATGCTACTAACATAATTTTCACTTTTCTAAGCCATGTGATTCAAGGTTGGGGACGCATTACGAAGCTGAGCAAGACTAATAAGTTCAAAACCAAAAAAACTTTCATTTTAATTCTGCTATACCATTAATTGAGAGTTCTTGATAAAGACTGCTCACATCTGCATCCTCTCCCTCAGCCTCAATTTTCTTCCTATAAAATGAAGAGGTTTATTCCCCATCCTATAAAATGAAGAGGTTAACTAGGATTTGTTTTATCTTTAAAACATGATTCCTTCTAATACGGATTCTGTGATGTGTTCACATGCACATAAAGTATATACAGCCCAGGGCCGACTGGGTAGCTCAGTCAGTTAAATGTCAGACTCTTGGTTTCGGCTCAGGTCATGATCTCATGGGTCTTGGGATCAAGCCCGTGTAGGGCTCCATGCTCGGTGGGGAGTCTGCTTCAAGATTCTTTCCTGCTGCCCCTCCCCCCAACCGCACAGGGGGTAAGGTATATGGTCTCTCTCTCTCTCTCAAATAAATACATCTTTTTTAAAAAGTATATACAGCCCATAATTAAATGGGAAATCTCAAAGATCTGATACTGGTAAACACCCTTTATGAATTTCACACAGAAGTCTAAAACAGGTACTTCAAAACTAACCGAGTAAGTCAGATTAATGATAGCAAACTGAGCACACACACATTCACCTCCCCCTCCTTCAAGATCCTATTTGGGGCAGGCAGGAAGGAGCAGGGAGGCAAAATACTGAAAGTGCAAAAGGGAATAAACAGCAAAGAGAAGGAAATGAGAATTTCAGTGTACTTCTGGAGGACAAAGCAGACAGGTGTAAATTAAACAGGTTGAGACAGACAAGAGGGGACTGCAGAGTGCTTAAGAATATAATAAAGACACATTATTGAAGGGTGGTGGGGAGAAAAAGACAACCAGAAATCCCAGAAGAAAAACACCTGTGTAAGAAAACCATAGACCAAATATGAAAGAAACTAAAATGTAAAACTTTTTAAATCAAGTAGCAAATGTTAAGGGGAAAAAATGAGAGATTTGATCTATTTGGCCTAATGTTATGACTCGTTGGGTATCCTAGAGATCAAGACTTGTAGGAAATCTAATCCTAAAATTCTGTTTGATCTGGCACTGAATATTTAGTTATAGTAAATGCACTGGCAATTTATTGCTCGTTTACTTACTGACAACACAAAGAAGATGCATTGTAGTTGTGCTATGCAATGTAAATATTACTAACCTTCAAGGTGTAAAATTAAGTGTACCTAACTGAAACCAGTTTAAGATGGAGGCAGAATGAAGGTATTAATATCCCCATTTTACAAAGTAGGGAACCAAGAAATACTGTTGAAAATTGAAAGAATAAGGGGACGCCTGGGTGGCTCAGTCGTTAAGCATCTGCCTTCAGCTCAGGTCATGATCCCAGGGCCCTGGGATCGAGCCCTGCATCAGGCTACCTGCTCGGCGGGAAGCCTGCTTCTCCCTCTCCCACTCCCCCTGCTTGTGTTCCCTCTCTGGCTGTGTCTCTCTGTATTTATTTATTTGAAATAAATAAAATCTTTGAAAAGAAGAAGAAAGAAAAAAATTGAAAGAATAAGAAATAGTGGCTTAAATATATTATTT